CCTAACCCTAAACCTAACCCTAAACCTAACACTAAACCTAACCCTAAAACAAGCCCCTAAACCTAATCCTAACCCTTATCTTAATTGAAATCGGCTTTCTGCCGCGGCGCCGTTTTAAAGCGCTCTTCTGTTGCCGCGCTGTTGTTGCGGTGGTGATGACGCGCGGTGATGATGTCGCGGCTTTAGCGACGTGCTTGTCTCCGCGGATAAGGGCTTCGCGGTTTTGTCGTGCCACGGCGATGCCCACCCTGGCCACGCCCACCCCAGACCCCTGAAGTCAAACCCAACTCTGATGCAGCCCACAATGAATCGAGTTTGACACCCCTGCACTAGGCTCTCAGCATTTTTTTTGTGTGTATTGTGGTGACCAGAATTATAGGCCGTGTTTCAAATGTGGCCTCACTGGTGCAGTACAGAATGGAATTATCACTTCTCGTGATCCTGATGTTCTTCCTGTGTTGATAACAGCCCAGGACTGCACTAGCTTTCTTTCTTTGGGTCTTGGCTTCTGTTGGTACCCTCACCTCCTCGCCCCCACTCACCAGCGGCAGTGATTTTGGGTAGGGAAGTATAACTGGAAATCTTCAACTGTATGCCGCACATAAAGGAAACAGCATCGTTCGTCACACTTAGAAATACTGGTGCAAAAAAGAAAGAGAGAGAAGAAAAGAATTCAGGCACGTAGAAAACAGGCCTTTGGGGAGAAGGCGGCTTAGTCCACAGGAGGAGAACTTCAGTTTGGCAGGAATATCCATTCCTTCTTCTCACCAGTAAAAGCAAACACGCCCCCCCCCCCCAAACTTGACTTATCCTTTCAAGATCCTTCATCTATGCTAGCCTCAAAAGCTTCCTGATCAGATATTACCTTTTTCTGTGCAGGGAATGTTGTATGAGCTGTTGATTTACTTTGCCTGAAAGTGTTTTCTTATCATTGTTTGACGATGCTGGTTCAAAAGCCTTTGAGATGTGAGCGCCCCCATAAAGACTGAACACCCCTTGGACAACCTGTTAAAATTAAGCTTGGGTCCTAAGTGATGGTGAACCTATGGCACACATGATGCTACAGGGGGCAGGCAGAACTCTCTCTGTGGGCACGCAAGCTGCCGCCCCAGCTCAGCTCCACGGTACATGTGCGTGTGCTTCCCACCAGCCAGCTGGTTTTTGGGTCTCTGCCATGCATGCGTGGTGGGTGAGGCACATGCAAGAGAGGCATGTGCATGCATGGGGGGTGGGGCGCAGGCAAGGGGTTGCACATGCATACCCAGGGGGTGGAGGGCAGAGGGGCGAATGCACGGTGGGCGAGGTGCACATGCATTGCATTACGCGGGCACGCAGCTACAAAAAGGTTAGCCATCACTGGCTTAGGACAGGGGTCAGCAAACGGTGCCTGTTTCCTCCCTCTGCTGCGGCTCCATCACCGGTCGGCGCTACAATTTTGAGAGGAGCTTCCGGTGGAGTGGGGGAGAGAGAAGCACAGTGTGCCAGGAGAATGGCAAGGAGAGGGTTTTCCAGTTGTCTCCACAATTGATAGGCCTTTCGGTTAGTACAGGTAGAGGAAAAAGTACGCCGCGCTAGGAGGAGACTCTATGGTGGGGGAACTGGACTTCCGGTCAGCTCCAGAATTGAATGGGGGATTCCGGTTAGGACCTTTGTGGGTCCCGGAGTTTTCTTTTCTGTGGGAAAGGGGTCCAAATGGCTCTTTGAGTGTTTAAGTTTGCTGACCCCTGGCTTAGGAGATTTATGTGAAGGTTTAAAAAGGATGAGGAGATCACTTTTCATGAAAAGAAAGGTAACCCAATGCCTCTGACTTCCAGAAGGAAGTTAAGGAAATAATCTTACATTAAGTATTGGCAACTGAACCTATTGTCTGTGATTGCCACTTTGTTGGCAATTGATATATTCTCAAAGATCCAAATACGACCACTAGGGCCAAGGACAGAGATAATGCTGTTACACAGGCATTAAATTCCATTCGCATGATGACTAAACCTGGTTCCTGAATTAAACAATTTTCTAATTTCGTGCGATATGATGAACCAAAAGTTAACCAAATCGTCTGAGTTTCTAGAATATGAAAAGTCACAAGGAAACTGATCAAGGTTGAACCCTAACCAAGCCTTGCAAATTGGCAAAATGTGTGGCTTTAAGTGTGACATGTGCACAGTAAGCACAATTCGGATGCTGGATGTTGAGTTACGCAAAAGGCCAGCATTTAGATGCCCTCTTCAGAAATGGCAATGATGATCTCATTACCTGATTCCACGGATGGAGGATGCAGGAAAGGTCCAGGTGGAAATTCCTTCCTATAGAAGCCAAGAGAAACACCCAATAAGTAAGTATAATCTTTATTGTCATTGTAGTTAAATACAACAAAATTGGTTGCAAATAACCCTAGAAGCAAAATTCCCAATCACTGAAAATTGTAAGAACGGGTAATCCTCGCTTAAGGACCACAAGTCAGGTCATTAAACTCAGTCCGAAACTGAGCCGAGGTGACACAGTGGTTAGAGTGCAGTACTGCAGGCTACTTCAGCTGACTGCTAGCTGCAGTTTGGGAGATTGAATCTCACCGGCTCAAGGTTGACTCCGCCTTCCATCCTTCCGAGGTGGGTAAAATGAGGACCCAGATTGTTGGGGGCAACAGGCTGACTCTGTAAACCGCTTAGAGTGGGCTGTAAAGCACTGTGAAGCTGTATGTGAGTCTAAGGGCTATTGCTATTTCTCCCTTCTTTTCCTTGGCCCCGGTGGTGCAGTGGTTAGAATGCAATATTGCAGGCTGACTCTGCTCACTGCCAGCAGTTCGAGTCTCACCAGGCTCAAGGTTGACTCCGCCTTCCATCCTTCCGAGGTGGGTAAAATGAGGACCCAGATTGTTGGGGGCAATAGGCTGACTCTGTAAACCGCTTAGAGGGGGCTGTAAAGCACTGTGAAGCTGTATGTGAGTCTAAGGGCTATTGCTATTTCTCCCGAGGTGAGAGAGAAGGTGGCGCAGTGGTTAAATGCAGCACTGCAGGCTACTTCGGCTGACTGCAGTTCTGCAGGTCGGCTGTTCAAATCTCACCGGCTCAGGGTTGACTCAGCCTTCCATCCTTCCGAGGTGGGTAAAATGAGGACCCGGATTGTTGGGGGCAATAGGCTGACTCTGTAAACCGCTTAGAGGGGGTCTGTAAAGCACTGTGAAGCGGTATATAAATCTAAGTGCTATTGCTATTTCTAACCTTCCCAGCTGGTTTCTGACAAGCAAAGTCAATGGGGGAAGACAGATTCGTTTAATAACTGCATGATTCACTTAACAACTTGGCAGGAAACTGCAGGCTCCTTCTGCTGACTGCCGGCTGCCTGCAATTTGGCAGTTTGAATCTCACCAGGCTCAAGGTTGACTCAGCCTTCCATCCTTCCGAGGTGGGTCAAATGAGGACCCAGATTGCTGGGGGCAATAGGCTGACATTGCAACCCGCTTAGAGGGGGCTGTAAAGCACTGTGAAGCAGTATGTAAGTCTAAGGGCTATTGCTATTTCTCCCTTCCTTTCCTTGGCCCTGGTGGTGCAGTGGTTAGAATGCAATATTGCAGGCTGACTCTGCTCACTGCCAGCAGTTCGAGTCTCACCAGGCTCAAGGTTGACTCAGCCTTCCATCCTTCTGAAGTGGGTAAAATGAGGAGTCAGACTGTTGGGGGCAAGAGGCTGATTCTGTAAACCGCTTAGAGAGGGTTGTAGAGCACTGTGAAGCTGTATGTGAGTCTAAGGGCTATTGCTATTTCTCCCTTCCTTTCCTTGGCCCTGGTGGTGCAGTGGTTAGAATGCAATATTGCAGGCTGACTCTGCTCACTGCCAGCAGTTCGAGTCTCACCAGGCTCAAGGTTGACTCAGCCTTCCATCCTTCCGAGGTGGGTAAAATGAGGACCCAGATTGTTGGGGGCAATAGGCTGACTCTGTAAACCGCTTAGAGGAGGCTGTAAAAGCCCTATGAAGCGGTATATAAGTCTAACTGCTATTGCTATTGCTATTGCTCCCTTCTTTTCCTTGGCCCCGGTGGTGCAGTGGTTAGAATGCAATATTGCGGGCTGACTCTGCTCACTGCCAGCAATTCGAGTCTCACCAGGCTCAAGGTTGACTCAGCCTTCCATCCTTCCGAGGTGGGTAAAATGAGGACCCAGATTGTGGGGGGCAAGAGGCTGACTAGCTAGGAGAGGGCTGCAAAAGCACTATGAAGCGGTATATAAGTCTAAGTGCTATCGCTATTGCTACAACTGGAACTGGCAACTTCATTGCTAAGTGAAATATCCCATGACCCTGTGGACTCAAGACTTCCCTTCCACTGTGGTCATTAATCAAATCGTCCAGAGTCATCGAGATATCATGTGAGCATAGCTTGCAGTTTTACTGTCGGCTTCTCCATCAGCTCTGCTTGTCGGAAGCCAGGTGTGATCATGTGAACACGGGGTGCTGCAACAGTCATAAACACCCACCGGTTGCAAAACGCCTGAATCTTGATCATGTGACTCCTGGGGACCCTGTGACGGTTGTAAATGCACAGGCTTGCTTTATAGCGGCTTTTCCAATGCCGACGTGATTTTGCATGGTTGCTAAACAGGGGATTCATTAAGCGAGGACTAGCAGGCAGCAAGCAAAAAAAAAAAGGAAAATGAAGTGAAACCTCTGAAAGTACCTCTTCCAGGGAACCGATGTAGCTTAGGGTCACTGATTTTCTGATCTCCTCGTTGCACACAGAGAGCTGAGACGGTTGGAGCACCTTGCTCAGGTCGAGAATCAACACCTGTCAAGAAAAGTCAACTCTGATGATTTTAAACAAGGGAAGATTCACTGAATTCCTCGAGATGAGGAGAAGGGTGTGCAATCACCAGGGGACAAGAGCAGCACAATATTTGGTTATCAGAAGGCCAGCATTTTGATGCCCTCTACAAAAAGGGTACCAGGAGGAAGAGCCTAGCCAGGTGGTAACACAATTGGTATGAGGGTTGAACTGGTAACACAATTGGGTAAGGGTTGAAATGGTAACACAATGGAGGTGAGGGTTGAACTGGTAACACAATTGGGTGAGGCTTGAACTGGTAACACAATTGGCGCGAGGGTTGAACTGGTAACAATATTGGGGTGAGGGCTGAACTGGTAACACAATGGAGATGAGGGTTGAATTGGTAACAATGGGGGTGAGGGTTGAACTGGTAACACAATTAGGGTAAGGGTTGAACAATTGGGATGAGGGTTGAACTGGTAACACAATTAGGGTAAGGGTTGAACAATTGGGATGAGGGTTGAACTGGTAACACAATTAGGGTAAGGGTTGAACAATTGGGATGAGGGTTGAACTGGTAACACAATTAGGGTAAGGGTTGAACAATTGGGATGAGGGTTGAACTGGTAACACAATTTGGGTAAAGGTTGAACTGGTACAATGGAGGTGAGGATTGAACTGGTAACACAATGGGGCTGAGGGTTGAACTGGTAACACAGTGGGGGTGAGAGTTGAACTGGTAACACAATTGGGATAAAGGTTGAACTGGTACAATGGAGGTGAGGGTTGAACTGGTAACACAATTAGAGTATGGGTTGAACAATTTGGGTGGGGGTTGAACTGGTAACACAATTGGGGTAAAGGTTGAACTGGAAATACAATTGGAGTGAAGGTTGAACTGGTAGCACAATTGGGGTGAGGGTTGAACTTGAGAATCACTGCCTTTATAAAGCTATCCCCATGCAAGCAATGCATTGTAAGGAAGGAGAGTGACTTGAACTATTGCTACATGCAGACGCAAAGTGGGGAGGGGAGACCAAGACAGAGGTCTCTGTCCCAAAGGAACGTTCAGTCGGGGTTTCTACATTGTAAGCTGGGACAACAGAAAGGGGAGAAACACAGCTAGGAAAGAGAAAGAGAGACAAATCATAACAAGAGGCAGGTTACCTGGAGTATAACTTATTTCAGCAATAACAAAGCTGGGCTCCTCCAGATGTTGTTAAACTCCAACTACCATCAGCCCCAGCCAACAGGGCCAGCGTTCAGGGATGATGATGCGTGCTGGACTCTAACATCATGCAGAGGGGCCATGGCTTAAGCAACCCTGACCGTTAAGGAGAGTGCTAAGACTCAGCGCAGAAAGAAACCTCTGGCAGGAGAGAGAAGCCCATCATGTTCTTGAGCTCTGCAGACAGCTGTTCTGCAAAGCTTGCCCTGAATTCGCTTAGTTGAACGGAAGGAACATGAAACAACAAAGGAAGTGGGAAATTTCCAAATATCCGAAGTCAAGCTGGGTAAACGTTTTGCATTATCTACAAAAAAAAAAAAAGTCTTGAGTTGAATTCAAGGTACTTCAGTCGGTGTGAGCTTAAATGGACTCCGGAAGATGATAGAGGACAGGAAGGCCTGGAGGAACGTGATCCATGGGGTCGCGATGGGTTGGACACGACTTCGCAACCAACAACAAGAAGTTAAAAAGAAATCTTGAAAGGAGGGTTGTGAAAGAGCTGCCTGCAACTGGCACTGTTTTCAGCAAGCACAAATCTGAATAAACGTAGGCATTTTCCATACATAATATTCGTGGCATTTTTGTGTGCAAGTGCCTTTTATACAGGCAGTCCTCGACTCACGACCACAATTGAGTCCAACATTTCTGTCACTAAGCAAGACAGTTAACAACTGAACAGGTAACAACTTAACAGTTGTCAAGTTAATTTTTCCCCATTTTACAATGGGGTCGCAAAAGGGATCGCGTGACCCCCAGGATACTGCAACCGTCATAAACGTGAGTCGGTCGCCAAGCATCTGGATTTTGATCACGCGACCACAGGGATGCTGCAACTGTCGTAAATGTGAAAAACCGCCATCGGTCACCTTTTCTAGTGCTGTTGTAACTTCAACAGTCACTGTTGTAAGTCGACAACTAACTGCATTTTATTTATTTCATTTTTTGCACACTAGTTTTGCAAACACTTAGATATTTAGAATTAGACATGAGCCGTGGTGGCACAGTGGTTAGAGTGCAGTACTGCAGGCTACTTCTGCTGACTGCCGGCTGCCTGCAATTTGGCAGATTGAATCTCATAAGGCTCAAGCCTTCCATCCTTCCGAGGTGGGTAAAATGAGGACCCAGATTGTTGGGGGCAATAGGCTGACTCTGTAAACGACTTAGAGAGGGCTGTAAAGCATTGCAAAGCAGTATATAAGTCTAAGTGCTATTGCTAGGAGTCGTGGTGGTGCATTAGTTAGAATATAGTATTGCAGCTCTGACTCTGCCCAGAGCAAGGAGTTCGATCCTGACTGGCTTAAGGTTGACTCAGCCTTCCGTCCTTCCAAGGTGGGTACAATGAGGACCCAAATTGTTGGGGGGCAATATGCTGACTCTGTAAACCGCTTAGAGAGGGCTTTAAAGCACTGTAAAGGGGTATATAAGTCTAAGTGCTATTGCTAGGAGTCGTGGTGGTGCATTAGTTAGAATATAGTATTGCAGCTCTGACTCTGCCCAGAGCAAGGAGTTCGATCCTGACTGGCTTAAGGTTGACTCAGCCTTCCGTCCTTCCAAGGTGGGTACAATGAGGACCCAAATTGTTGGGGGGCAATATGCTGACTCTGTAAACCGCTTAGAGAGGGCTTTAAAGCACTGTAAAGGGGTATATAAGTCTAAGTGCTATTGCTATTTCTCCCCTCCTTTCCTTGGTCCTGGTGGCGCAGTGGATAGAATGTAGTGTTGCAGGCAAACTCTGCTCACAGCCTGGAGTTCGATCCTGACTTCCTCAAGGTTGACTCAGCCTTCCATCCTTCTGAGATCGGTAAAATGAGGACCCAGATTGTTGGGGGGCAATATTCTGACTCTGTAAACCGCTTAGAGAGGGCTTTAAAGCACTGTAAAGCAGTATATAAGTCTAAGTGCTATTGCTATTTCTCCCCTCCTTTCCTTGGTCCTGGTGGCGCAGTGGATAGAATGTAGTGTTGCAGGCAAACTCTGCTCACAGCCTGGAGTTCGATCCTGACTGCCTCAAGGTTGACTCAGCCTTCCATCCTTCTGAGATCGGTAAAATGAGGACCCAGATTTTGGGGGGAAATATGCTGACTCTGTAAACTGCTTAGAGAGGGCTTTAAAGCACTGTAAAGCAGTATATAAGTCTAAGTGCTATTGCTAACTCTGCCCACTGCCAGGAGTTTGATCCTGACCAGCTCAAGGTTGACTCAGCCTTCCATCCTTCTGAGATCGGTAAAATGAGGACCCAGATTTTGGGGGGAAATATGCTGACTCTGTAAACTGCTTAGAGAGGGCTGTAAAGCACTGTGAAGGGGTATATAAGTCTAAGTGCTATTGCTAACTCTGCCCACTGCCAGGAGTTTGATCCTGACCAGCTCAAGGTTGACTCAGGCTTCCATCCTTCCAAGGTGGGTAAAATGAGAACCCAGATTGTTGGGAGCAAGAGAGAGAGGGCTGTAAAGCACTGTGAAGGGGTATATAAGTCTAAGTGGTATTGCTAGATGC